CCCAGACCCCACCGGAACCGCCACTTGCTTCTCCGCCAGCTCCTGTCGTTCCAGCATTCCGCACAACTTTTCCATTATTTGACCCATCACTTGCAGTTTGTTGATATCCTTCTGGATCTGGGTAACGCTTCCTCAAAGCTCACCCATATTTCCTCGGATTTCACCCATTCTTGCTTCCACTCTTCCCAGTCGCGAAACAACGTCTTCCAAATGCTCCGAACGTTGCTGTTGTTCCTTTGGAGGCATGATGGATCGGTGCTCTGATACCAGGTTTGTTAGATTCGAGAGGGATTAATAGGGGTAAAACTTATTCATAAACTAAATAGAAATACAACGCCACAGAGAGGCATACCTCTCCTCCACACACATAAGCTTTTAGATTCTCAGATACCCCTCATAACCATGAAAAGGAAAATATATATAATAGCACACCCAGCAACAGCCTGCTGAGGTGGCGTACGTCACTCCTGCTTTCACACGTCCTGGGTGTCTAACGGAATTCTCCCATGATGAATATTCCTTGTCAGGCATGATCCCCTGTGACTGCGCCTAGGTTATCCCCTGCTCCTTCTTTTCCATTGGGTTGGGCTTCCAATTGGTCCTCTGGCAGCTTATCTCCTATACGGGCCTTTTTCCTCTTCCTCGTATAAACCTTAAAAGGCCTATCACAGTGCTGCATCCACTTATACAGCTGCTAGTTCGGAATATCGAGTAGTGATTCATGATCACGTTGTTACTCCTGAGGAAGACAGTCCCTCAAACAAGCAAAATGGAAATTCTTTATTGACATTCATCATCCCCACAGGTATACGAAAATAAGCATATCATTCTCCAGAGCTTCCTCTTTAAGTTTTGTGTCTGCATGCTAAGATTTGATCCTTATTTCATACAGAGCGATTGTTGCTATCCAGAAGGAACTTCACAAACCCGAATCTGATCGTTCTGGTATTCATCTCGAGTTCGACATTTCAGGGACTGGTATTACGTAAGCCTATCTACTCTAACTCATATTTGGTTTACAGCCCTTGGTAGATGACCTTAATTTGTCTCATGGCTGTATGGTTCTGTTCAACATGTATCGAAACCATATGTTTGTATACGAATGTGATTCATATGATAGTTTAAGCTGTCTAAATGTGTTTTTAGGTCCGCTTTTGGTATTATTCATTAGAGTAAGATGGGATATCACTACAATTCACTTTTACCTTGGTGAACCGGATGTTTTCGCCGCTACTCGTTAACCTACGCTTGTCCTTGCAATCTTTAATTGTATGTTTATTCAAGGACCTTGTTTCATCTTTCATCATTTCGAGTCAGAATAATGTTCTCATCGAACGATTGCAAATAAAGTGTTCTGGGTAATATGTTCTGGTTGTGTGTGCTTCAATTTCTTTCATTCAATTTGGTGTATTATTTAGCAGCAGATCGTCTTGTATAAAACCTGGAGTGTTTTACTGCCATTATATTCTATAAGAACAGTCAAATGGGTTCACGTGAATGATTCTTCCAGTCCTTGAGAGATTTCTAACTTTATTGGCCTTTCTCCACAGATATGAAACAGGAGACCACATCAGTGTTTATGCTGAAAATCATGTTGAAACTGTTGAAGAAGCTGGAAAGTTGCTCTGCCAATCACTAGATTTACTATTTTCTGTACATGCTGAAAAGGAAGATGGGTCACCAATGGGAAGCTCATTGCCACCTCCTTTTCCTGGTCCCTGCACACTTCGTACTGCTTTGGCACGTTATGCAGATCTCTTGAACCCTCCTCGAAAGGTTGTCTTGTTTTTCCCCAATGTTCCTCCTTTGTTTTAGCTTAGTTTACTTCCCGCACATTAAATTTGCTTTTTGTTTCAGGCTGCTGTGATTGCCTTGGCAGCATATGCTACTGAACCGAATGAAGCTGAGAAACTTAAACACTTAACATCTCCTGGTGGAAAGGTTCTGAGTCACTTGTGTATCTATTTTTTTCCTTTTCTCTTGGTTTCAACAAACCACGGACCTGCTATTTGTTTTGCCTAATGGTAGCATGTTTCTGCAGGATGAATACTCACAATGGATCGTTGCAAATCAAAGAAGCCTTCTGGATGTTATGGCTGCATTTCCATCTGCAAAACCACCATTAGGTGTATTTTTCGTTGCAATAGCTCCTCGTCTACAACCTCGTTACTATTCTATCTCGTCCTCACCAAGGTGGCTAGCTTATTTGTTTGGGATGATATTTATGGCGAAAAGAAAATCGAGGCTTGCCTGCTCACTAACATTTGCCTTTCATTTTCCGCATTTTGTGCAGATTTGCACCCAATAGTGTTCATGTTACTTGTGCCCTAGTCCATGGTCCAACTCCTACTGGTAGAATTCACAAGGGTGTGTGTTCAACGTGGATGAAGGTAATGCTTTCGAGCTTCTTTTGATATCTGTTTTTTCCCTGCTCAAATTTTATGATGTCTGATGTCCAATATTTTCAAGTTTCAGAATGCAACACCTATGGAGAAAAGTAGTTACTGTAGTGCAGCCCCAATCTTTATTCGGACGTCGAATTTTAAGTTACCATCAAATCCTTTAACTCCAATTGTTATGGTGGGACCTGGGACTGGCTTGGCACCTTTTCGTGGTTTCCTACAGGTTTGTACTAAATTTCAATTGGTTGTTCTGTGTCTCATTAATGAAGGAGAAATAAGTAAGCACCCCGGTCATGATTTGCTGTGCAGGAAAGGATGGCACTGAAAGAAAATGGAGTTCAACTAGGTCCATCTCTACTCTTCTTTGGTTGTAGAAACCGACGAATGGTTAGAATTTTACTGTGCTTCCTTATGGGTAGTCATTTGCAAACTGTGCCATCATGTCAACCTCTTATTTCTATCTTTGTTGCAGGACTTCATTTATGAGGATGAACTCTATAATTTTGCTGATCAAGGTGCCCTCTCTGAGCTAATCGTAGCGTTCTCTCGGGAGGGCCCACATAAAGAGTACGTTCAACATAAGATGGTAGAAAAAGTAAGTATATCTGGAGATAGCAAGTTCTAGGAATGACAATATGACGGCATAATTGGTAATCTAATCCCTTGCATTGTGACCAGGCAGCAGAAGTTTGGAAGCTAACAAAGGAAGGATACCTCTATGTGTGTGGTGATGCCAAGGGTATGGCTAGAGATGTCCACCGGACTATGCACACCATTGTTCAGGAGCAGGTATGTGCAGTCATTAGCCACTTTCAAGGCAATGTTGTAGATGTTGAGAGGTGGGCAAATATTTTAGATGGAGAACTTAGAAAAACTTAGAGGAGAGGAAGTGGAGAGGAGAACACTTCAAAAAACTTTTCTTTTTGTTCTTGCTTTTAACTTGATAAAAAATGACATAACTTATACTTCTATTTATACTACATGTAGGAAGATTCTACACACTATGATTAATTACAAATAGTAATTATCACTTATTTATTTTAATTTGACTCACCTAGAATTCAACAAATTCTAGAATAATCAAGATTAGTCTTCAATGCGCCCTCCTAAGCTTGATTCCCGCATGCCAAGCTTGTGGCGTAGCTTCTCGAATACCTCCCTCTTCAAGGGCTTCGTGAAAATGTCAGCAACCTGTTCTTCTGTCTTCACGTACTTTACTTGAACTTCTTTCTTTGCAATGCACTCCCGAATGAAATGAAACCTTGTATCAATATGCTTACTCCGATCATGATACACCGGATTCTTCGCCAACGCAATCGCCGACTTGTTATCAACATAGATATCTGTAGAGCCACCTTCTCCAAACTGAATTTCTTTGAGCAAACTCCGAAGCCATATTGAGTGACAAACACAAGATGTTGCAGCAACATACTCTGCCTCACAAGTTGATAACGTTACTATCGGTTGTTTCTTCGATAACCAAGTAAACGCCGTTGGTCCATAGAAGAAAACAAAACCCGTCGTGCTCTTCCTGTCATCGGGATCTCCAGCCCAATCACTGTCACTGTAACCTCTCAATTCTGTTTCTCCGGATGATGGATAGAACATCCCCAAACTCAAGGTACCTTTAATATATCGAAGAATCCTCTTTGCAACCTTCAAATGATAAGATGTAGGACTCTCCATATGACGACTAACTATGCCAACCGCAAACAGAATATCCGGTCTTGTGCATGTCAAGTACCGCAAGCTTCCAACCAAACTCTTGAATACAGTAGGATCAACTGTTCAGAACATGATCCTCACGGCCATGAACAACATATCCCTCGGGTTGCTCAATATAAACATCCTCTTCAAGAACTCCATTCAAAAATGCTGATTTTACATCCATTTGGTAGATTTTCCATTGATTTTGAGCCGCAAGTGAGATGAGCAACCTTATAGTTTCAAGACGCGCAACTGGAGCAAACACTTCATCGTAATCAATTCCGGCACGTTGTTTGTATCCTTTGGCAACGAGTCTAGCCTTGTACCTTTCAACCTCTCCTTTTGAATTTCGTTTGATCTTGTAAACCCACTTCACACCAATGGGTTTATATCCTCTCGGCAATGTAGTCAACTCCCACGTTTCATTTTTCTTGATGGCCGCAATTTCCTCATTCATGGCCTTCCTCCACTGTTCATTCTCCGATGCTTCAGTAAAATTGATCAGTTCTGTATCTGCAAAAAGATAGAACAAAGTATGGTTCTGATTGAGATCATAGATCTCTTCCAAACTCTTCGTACCTCTTGGTCCAATAACGTTAGGACTATCTTCGGATGATGAAGATACTCCCGAGTTGGACCCAACCTCGAAATGTGATTGCGGAGTTGGAGTCAACTCCAACCCAGACTCCTCATGATCATTTCCTATCACAGATGGATAGAAAGTAAACTTCTCCTTGTCATTTGAACTCCAATCCCATGCATTCTTTTCATCCACAACAACATCTCGGCTGACTTTGATCTTCTTCTCAACGGGATCATATAACTTGTAGCCTTTCGATTGTTGATTATATCCCACGAAGATATATTTTTCACTGCGATCATCAAGTTTCTTTCTGTGTTGCGCGGGGACATGGACATGAGCAAGACTTCCAAAAATTTTCAGATGAGATATGTTGGGTTTGTATCCACTCCATGCTTCTTGCGGTGTCTGATTCCAAACACTCCTTGTCGGACAACGGTTCAATAGATAAACAGCACAATCAACTGCCTCAGCCCAGAATTCCTTTGGTAAGTTCTTGCTCTTCAACATGCTTCGGACCATGTTCAAAATAGTCATATTCTTTCTCTCGGCGACTCCGTTCTGTTGTGGTGAGTATGGAACGGTAAGTGGTCTCCGTGGTAAGTTCTTGCTCTTCAACATGCTTCGGACCATGTTCAAAATAGTCATATTCTTTCTCTCGGCGACTCCGTTCTGTTGTGGTGAGTATGGAACGGTAAGTGGTCTCCGTATGCCATTCTCTTCACAAAACTTCTTGAACTCTTTAGAAGTAAACTCACCACCCCGATCCGACCGTACGGATTTAATCTCAAACCCGCTTTGCCTTTCAGCAAGAGCCTTGAACCTTTTGAATGCCGAAAAAACTTCTGATTTTTCCTTTAGAAAATAAACCCACGTTTTTCGATTGTAATCATCAACGAATAACAAGAAGTACTTGTTATTACCGAATGATGGTGGGTCAAGGGGTCCGCACACATCAGTGTGTATCAACTCCAATAATTGATTCGCTCTTGTCATTGACTCCTTTGGAAAGCTTTGCCGATGTTGCTTTCCAACCAAACATCCTTCACAAACTTGATCCGGTTGATCAATAGATGGTAACCCGTTCACCATCTTTTTGGATGACAACAACTTCAAACCTCCGAAATTCAGGTGCCCAAGTCGTAAATGCCATAACCAAGACTCCTCCTCGAAACATGCTTTCAAACACTTCCCAACATTAGTCTGAATGTTCATCGGGAACATTCGATTCTCCGTCATCGGAACATAAGTCAAGAGATTCCCTTTGTCGTCATTGAGATAAATGTTTCGATTCCTCGAATGAATATTATATCCTTTCTCTAACAATTGACCAATACTTAAAATATTAGTCTTTATACCTAGCACATAGTACACGTTGGATATGTACTCATGGCCTCCATTCATTACCTTAATCAGAATCTTGCCCTTTCCCTTGACCGCGATTTTGGATAGATCTCCAAATGAGATATTTCCCGTCACCGACTCATCGATATCCAGAAACATGTGACGATAGCCGCACATGTGGTTACTCGCACCGGTATCAAGGTACCAAATTTGCTCTCGCTCTTCACCGGAGCCTTTGCGTGCAAGTAAAACCGTGTCTTCCACTTCTTTTTTCTCCTCTGCATAATTAGCTTGCTCTTTTTTCTCATCCGGCCCGTCAAGACATTCATATGAAAAATGTCCATACCGATGACAATTGTAGCACTCAACATCGCGTTTGTCTTGCCTTTGGGTATAACCTCCTCTACCGCGTCCTCTTGAAGAACGTCCACCCCATGCGTTCTGGGTTTGATTTTGATCCCGTGTGTCTCCTCCTCGACTGCGACCACGGCCGCGACCTCGTCCTCGTCCTCGACCACGTCCCCGTCCTTCACCACGACCACGTCGTCCTCGTCCTCGACCATGTCCCCGTCCTTCACCACGACCACGTCCACCTTGGTTCCGATAATCATTTTTCTTCTCTTCAATATTCACCTTTGCTTGAAGAGCATGCTCGATCGGCTCTTTGTGTCTCCTTTTAATTTTTTCTTCATGAACTTGAAGCTTTCCGGTGAGTTCATCAACGGTCATTTTCTCAATGTCGTTAGATTCTTCAATCGCCACAACGACATGATCGAACTTCGGAGATAGTGACCGAAGTATCTTCTCCACGATTCGACTATCTGTCATCTTTTCACCGTTGCTTACGAGTTGATTGGAGACCGCCGTAACTCGAGAGATATAGTCGAAGACTGCTTCTGACTCCTTCATTTGCAAAGCTTCGAATTCTCCACGAAGTGATTGAAGCCGCACCTTTTTCACCTTGTCAATACCCTTGAAAGCATTTTCAAGAGTATCCCATGCCTTCTTCGATGTGGTGGCATGAGCGATCTTCTCGAAGATGGTATCATCCACACTAAGTTGGATGAACGAAAGTGCCCGTTGGTCTCTTACTTTCGCTTCTTTGGCCGCCTTCTTCACGGCTTGGCTAGCGGAAGCCAAATTCTCCGGTTCTTCATACTCTTCTTCGATGGCATCCCATACATCTTGTCCACCAAGGAACGCCTTCATTTGAATACTCCATCTTTCATAGTTGTCTTTCGTAAGCTTTGGAATCGGGAAAGCTCCGCTTGTAGTCGCCATCGCCTAGGCTCTGATACCACTTTGTTGAGAGGTGGGCAAATATTTTAGATGGAGAACTTAGAAAAACTTAGAGGAGAGGAAGTGGAGAGGAGAACACTTCAAAAAAACTTTTCTTTTTGTTCTTGCTTTTAACTTGATAAAAAATGACATAACTTATACTTCTATTTATACTACATGTAGGAAGATTCTACACACTATGATTAATTACAAATAGTAATTATCACTTATTTATTTTAATTTGACTCACCTAGAATTAACAAATTCTAGAATAATCAAGATTAGTCTTCAGTAGATGTAAGGTTGTAAAATTGGTGAACTTGCCCGGCTGGTTGTCTTGGCCTGGCCCAAATAGAAATGGACAGTGTTTTATACGAGCTGGTCCTCGTTAAACCAGACTGTTGTAGTTTTTACTTTGTTTATATTCCTGTCCATTGCTTTTGCTTTGCTTCAGTTTAACGATATGTGGTTGAATGATATGGATGGATACTCAGTCTTTCTTTTTTGTCTTGGTATCTTTCTCTTTTCTAAAATTTTCAGGAGGGGGTGAGTTCATCAGAGGCAGAAGCTATCGTCAAGAAACTTCAAACGGAAGGACGATACCTCTTCAGCAGAGCTTCTTTGGCTGATCGATTTATCTTATTCTGGATAAGATCATCTGATTTTTGTTAGAACTCCTCATACTGAGAATGGTTTTCTTCGATGACAGAACCATTTACTTAGATATTTATTTTGTTCCTTTTTCTCTCTTTTCCTCCGAATCTTGCTTATAGTCAGACGTGAACATTTGTCGCAGTGGTCTTGTATCATACAAGTTGTACGAGCCAAAGTATAAACAACTGGAGAATGATGCTTTGTAGAAGGAAAGATGAGTTGTACTATCTTGTTTTATAATTTTGATGGGACACGCCTTGAAATGGTGAAGTCTAGTGTCAGATTCATGCTTTATAATGCTGTGTTGTCCCCTATACCTCATGTAGGTTCATATTATATGGATCCTGCAGGCAGCTTCTATGGAACCACCGTCCTTTACTATGAACCATTTCCTGATTAATTTGCTACAGTTTTGCAGGGAAAACAAGAGAAGAGGAAAAACTGCGGACAACACTTTCTAGACATCTGTCTCGGTGGAAGGATTGGGAGAACTACCGGCTATTCTGAAAGGTAAGGTCTCTCAGTCGATACAATGTAGCTACATTGTTTCTTGCACATCATCATCAAAATCAACATCATCATCATCATGGCCTTAATCTCAAGTTTATTTGGGATCGGCCGCATGAATTCTTTATTTACATTGTTTCTTACACGTGATAAAATTGATGTGCTTTGCTGTATTTGATGGACTGATGCAGCGAAATGTCACCCAGAACTCGAGAATTTCTTCTAAGAGCGTGTCGATATGTTCCCGTATCTTTTCCTGCACTGGTGAAATCTGATGGGGAACCTAAACAACTCGTTTTGGTTTTACTTCATCGCCCTTTCCTTTTGGAGTGCGTTTTTTCCAGGTCTTCATGCTCCTGCATCATACCTGGGGGATGGAACTCGTCAACCGACTATTGCTTTCACGCTGCCCTTCGGGGTTCATCTAACGGCTTTCTGACCGGTTTCTCTCTGTTTGCTCGGTACCCTTTTGTACAGAGTTGACAGCATTCTTTCATCTCTCTTTCCTGTAAAGCTAACTCCAAGAATCCATTCTTATTCTTCTTCTCCACATCACTGAGCTGCCTCTTTACTTCCTTGTAGTTCTTTAAGACCGAAGAGTACTCGTCAAGCAGATCTTTCTCCGTGTCCCCTGACCGAGCTGTCAAGATCTGCCCGAATCAGGATCGATCCTCATCCTCGGGCTTGAACTTTACGGACAAGATCCAAGGAGTCCCTGTTCTGTTCCAACAGTGGAGGAGCATGAAGATGACGACACGTTGGTGTCTTTGGAACAGATAAAATTTGTCAGAGCTTATATATATAGATCTAAGTGACAAACCGATTCGTTGTTTCTAGAATAAAAAGCATGCTTAAAAATAATTTTTTTTTATAAACTTCCAATATTTCATGCTTTCTAAAAAAAATTACTTCTTTAATAGCCTTAACATCAGAAATGTTACCACGCTTGCTCGTTATCTCGTGAAGAAGGTAAATAATCCCCATTGATGTCGAGGTCGAAAAGTTCTTAATAAGGATGGAGATTTCGGTTCGGGTTTAGATTGGATTCGGTGTAGCTCTTTCATTTTTACAAAAATAAGTATCAATCAGTTATTATATTATATTCGGTTCGGTTTCGATTGCGGTTCAATTGCCGTTTTTATTAAAAAAAATTTAAATCTTCTTAAAAAATCGGGTTTTTTTTGGGTTGTTTAGATTTCGATTCAATTTAGATCCAAGAAATTCGGTTTTTCTAAAATTAATATCATTCGGAAATTTTGCACAGTTCGGATGGAAAAAAATCTCGTATTTTTTGGTTCAATAGTTTTCTTCTCTTTTGGATTTCGGGTTATTTACTTTTATCTGTCTCTGGTTTTTGGGTTTTAACTATAAAAGCAGCTCAATGGCATTTTCTTGAACCCCCACAAATTAAGGTGGTGTGTTTACATGGATAACAAAAGCTCTCATACACACGACGAATCCGAAATTCATACGAAAATCTCACCGAACGTAACTAGATTTTCCATTTTCGGCACTCCGTATCGGACCCTTTACCAAAATGAAGAAAACCGTTCTATATTCTGCAATAGATTGTGTAGGTTCTTCTTGTTCTCTTTTACTGTGGTATGACCCCTCCTTGTTCATGAGCTAGCTCGCTTCCGCTCTTTCTTCAATTTACCAACTTTCCCAACACATGCTTTAACGTCCTGCGGAATCCAAACAAAGTTATTACGCTATCGTGATTACGCTTTCGCGATTTCGAGCGAAAAATGTATCCCTTATGTAAGATTACGCTTTCATGATTTCGAATCTTACCAATGTATTCCCTACTTCATGAAGTGGTTGTTTGTCACGGATAATCTTCTGAGCTGCGTTTGCCGAAGATGGCATTGCTTCTCTATTGGTGCATCTGGAAGCGATGCATCTGCAGGATTCTCCACAGCCGCTTCCGTTTGCCATGCATTGGCACTTCAGTGTTTTGCACAAAGATTTTTTCGTGCATGAGCAACATACATTCGCTTTGCTCTCCTCAGTTGTACAATGCTTTTCCTCAGATGGCTCTTGAGGAGGAGATGGCAGAGAATTTTCTGATGGAGATGACTCCGTGCTTGTTTGGTAGTTAGTCTTCCCTGTGGAAACGGAGGATCCAACCGAATTTCCCTGATGAAAAGTCGAAAAATCAGATCAAAGATCAGATAAATAGAAGCAGGCAGTCATCGGAGCAGAAACAAACATGATGGGTATCTTGTAACCTGAGATTTATTTGGTTCGCTGAGTTGTGACTTGGTCATTTCCATTTGGCTGACCATTGAACTGAGTCTATTGAATTCCTCTTTCAATTCCTTTAGCTCAGAGTCGATCAGTGGATGGGCGGCCTGATTTTCGCACGACAAAGGGCTAAAAAGGAGAAAAAAGAAGCTTATTCGCAAAATCCAAGAGAAGACAATATCTGCTTCTAACACGAAAAACGTCAGCCATTGTTGAACTTACTTTTGATCTTTCAGCAATTCTGCCTTCACCGTATCTGCCTCTAACCCAAACAATTTAATCTCTTCCCGCATTCTAGCGAGGATGACAAGGAAAAACATTATTACTGACCGCTGAAATAATGTCTTATGTGCTCAATGTTGGATATCTTTCTAAACTTGGAAGATAAATAACATAAAAAAAAGTCCCGACATTCGTGATACCAACAAAGATTAGGGATGTTAACACCCAAAACTCAATGGGAGCTTACTCTTTCATTTGGCGTTCATAGGCAGAATGTACCGCATTTAACCTCGTCATTAGTTGGAGTTCAGAATTAGAGTCCTGCACACCAAGAATGAGAAATAATCTAGAGTTTCATATAATGGAAATCAATTCATGAAGAAAAAAATATCATGGAAAACCCAAAATCCAAATGTTCATTGGGAAAGATGCGAAACATCGAGACTCTAACGAACTAAGGAATATGTTTCAAAAGACTATAAAGTTGGCTGTGATTGGAAACAGTTGCAAACATATTGCAACAGTAGAGTCCTTATATTCCATGGGCAAGAACATCAAAAAACCCACTAATAAACTTGATATTGCTGAAATTAGTATAGACTCTCCTACCTGAATCCCAACATTTGTTCCTTTTGGAGGACCTGGAAAAATATTTAAAAAAAATGACTCAAAAACACGAAGGGAGAGAGAAAAGTAGTAGCTTTAGTTTGTACCAGCTGCTTTATTACCATTATTTTTATGCGTAGGAATCTTCCTAGACTCCAGCAACAATTTTAGCTGTTTCACAGCTGTAATAGCTTGTGTATGCTTCAGTTTCATAATCTGACTTAAGAAAAAAAATGAATTAAAAAAACGAGAAATTGAATATGAATTAAATGTAGCATTTAAGGAGAAAAACAGCGGGTACCATTTTTTGACGCCTGTTTAAAGCTATTAGGGCGTGTTTCTCAAAATTGATTTTCCTTTCAGCTTTCCTGAGCTGTCAAAAGAACTGTTTTAGTAAACTGGAGTTTTGCAAACTATCCACTAGGTTAAATTAGTTAAAAGAAGCATTTACACAAGGGACAAAAATTCTTGGCCAATCCAATGTTGAAAGAGGTCTCCTATATTGATTTTAGTGTTCACAGATAACCGTGAAACCCAATCTACCATAAACTATAGACTCTGCATTTTCAGGGGCAAAGAGAAAGCCTTTCAATATCAACAAGAAACAAATCAAATGAATGAGTCTCTAATCATTGGTGTTCCAGTGAAAGAAGATCAGCATAAAGTCTATGGCCTTTGTCCATGAAGACGTTTTATGCATTCCAAGTGCAAGTCAGAAAGACATGTTCTATTACCATACTAGTACCTCTACCTCTACTTCTGAAAAGGAAGGTATAGAAATTTAGATTTGAAATCTGTAAGTGAATACCTGTAGGATTTCCTTTTCAAGTGAAGCTTTGCATAACCTGAAGTGCATAGAGTCTAGCTTGATCTTACACTGCAACTTAACCTGGAAATGAGTCACAGAATTAAAACCAGACAGAAATGTTGCGATATCAAAACTTGCATCATCCGCATCAAGATTCCCACCTTTTGCGCCTTTAATTTGTGTACTTCGTCATCTATCTGTTTGGTCGCACTGCTACTCGGAGTGTTCTTTGTTGGGCACTGAGAATGCGTATGTGGTTTGCTTCTTGAACTCATAGCCTATGAAAGCATAAAGATCAATATGGGACATGGTACCAAACTTCAATGCTTATTGGAAAGTGTATCACCTGCTCCTTCGCAGCACTTGACCTGTGATGATAATCTTCTCTTGAGTGTTGGGTAACAGAAGAGCCGGATGAAATATCACCCTGTTTGCTTCTCAGTTCTTCAATCTCCCGCTGATAATTTCAAAAAGCAAATCATCACATTGCTAGCTCATGGTCCAAGCAACAATGCATGATAATGGTCCTGAAATTCTGCCAACCATTCCATATTTCTAATTGTCATAACTAGGTTCAACACTTCGCTAAACCACAGCGCCTCGTTTCTTATAATCCACATATGTTCAGCTACATGAAATTCAAAATCCTGATCATGGATGGATCCATCAAATTCATCAGTTTTCTTTATTCCAGGATTATCGAGCAGACAGTCTAATATTATTTACAAAACATAACTCACTATCCGTAGGTTCTCACAATAAAACCAAGAATTTTATGGGGAAAAAACGGATAGTATCCAATTTCACATTTCCTTCAAGAACTTCTCCTAAAGCAAACAGTTAAATGAAGCAATGAATATAGTCTGAGTACAAAATTCTGGTATGAAATTCATAGAAGGAACAAAAGTGAACATACACATTTTCAAACTAGGAACAAGCACGAAATTCTCAAAAGCCAATCCTAGAATGAAATGACAACGATTATACACGATTTTTCCAGCTAATAACAACAGCTAAGCCCCAGATTCTAGTAAAAGACATTCCAAGAATGAAATTCCAATCGAAGCAACAGACAACGTGGTTTTTCAATATAGGAACAACATCTAAGCACCAAATTCCAGTAGAAATGCAGTCTAAACATGGATAATTTTTCGAGCCACGAAGCAACATGCATGTAGCACTAAATCCCAGTAAGAATCGCCGATGAACACAAACGATTCATGGAGAAAACATTTCCCAAAAAAATCTATAAACGCAACGAATAGCTGAATCCACACCGCGAAGACAAATATCCAGCAAAAAGTTCCACAATGGAAACTCGAATCGAACAGGAGAAGAGGAAGAACCTTGAGAGCACCGTTCTCCAACTCCAGATCTCGAATCCTCTTCTCCGACTGCTGCTGGGTAACATCCGGAGCACCAGCGCCGGCAACGGCGGGGTTTGAAGAATCCTTGGATCTGCGATTCAGCTTCCTCATCTTCGGCGATGCAGTCGAGCGGAGAAAATTGCTCTCTCTTGCTAATATGAGGGGACGAGAGGATGCACCTCTTGGCGGCCTGTGGATTTTTTGAATTTTTAAGCCTTTCCCTGGATTATAGCGAAAATCCAGCAACTTGGCAGGCTCCAATGTGACCTCCATATCCGCTGTAATATTAGGAGGTAAAGGGGTTGGAAGAAACGTGTTACCATGAGCCGGTTTGAATTGAGACACATGGAAGACATTGTGAATCTTGGCAGTCGGTGGTAGCTGGAGACGATAGGCGGCTGGTCCGATCCGTTCCAAGATCTCATATGGACCAAAAAATCGGGCTGCTAACTTCAGGAAATTGCGGCGAGTCACCGAATGCTGGCGGTAGGGACGTAACTTCAAGAAGACCCAATCCCCAGGGTTGAATGCTTGATCACGACGAGATGCATCTGCATATTGCTTCATTCGATTCTGTGCTCTAGCCAGATTTTCCCGTATCTCGACTATCATTGCATCCCGATCATTGAGTTCTCTCTCCAACTCGAAATTGGCAGTCGTACCCTGTTGGAAACTCAGCAAGGAAGGCGGTGGTCTGCCATATACAGCTTGAAAAGGGGAATTTCCTCTTCATTGTTTATGGCTTTCTTGCCACACTTCAAATATTATATTTTTATATAAGTGGGGTTGAGCTTTGATAAAATTGAATAATATCTAAAATTATGTGAATCAAATTGAATTTTAAAAATATTTAAACATAAATTTTTAAACAAAACAAATCAAATACCAAAGCATTGGAATAAAAAAAACAAATAAAAAAATTAGAAAACGAATATTTCGAACCAAATTTGAACAGATATAAAATTGAATAAAATATTTTTTTAAAATCGATAATCAAAACAAAAAAAAAATAGATTTGAAATCTAAAATATTCATTGTTAATTTTTAGCTTTCGAAAATGGAAATTTAGGTTAAAAAATCGTTTTTTGATGTTGTTTTGTAGAAAAACAAAGTTAATAGGTTTACAAAATAAATATATAATGTGTTTTTCTCTTACCCGTCTTTTGTTTGTCTAAGGTTTAAAAAAATAATCCACGGTCGATAAAATAAAATTGATAAAAAAGAATAATGTATAATATACATATTGAAACGAAAATGTTAATTTCTAATCTAATTATCACATAGAAAAAAAAAACGTGTCACCACAATATCTCCAAAAATAATACTAGGAGATATCAGCAAAATTCCTCAGTGAACTGTTGCAGCATAACTTGAAACCAAAATTGAGAGAAGAATCAAGCTGAGGCTTTACACATACAATCAGGAGCAGGGTAAGTGTAAATAGACTGCTTCTCCTTCCTAATCCGAATCTGGCCTTGCCTGTTCTTGTGACTATTCACAACCGCACGCTCAAACTCAGGCCAGCCAATGCTCTTGTTCAGGAACAACTGTCCTAACAGTACCATGTTCGGTCTTATCGTCTTTAGATTCAGGTATGCTCTATGCGCAAGCTGGGAAAAGAAAAAACCCGGAGAAGTTAATGTTCTGAGACCTCGGATTAGCTGATGCTTCGCTTAAAACTGGTCAAGACCCGTTACACGATATGCAAAAACAGGTCGAGAAGCAATGAATGCGAGTCCGATGAGGAGTTTTTTTTTCTTTTTTGGGGGGGTTTACCAGAGCGTTGTGCATGTTCCCGGGAGATGCAGAGATGAAGATGTCGCTTTTCATGCTCACGTAATAATCTACTGCAGCGAGTAACGAAGCTTTGCCTTCTACATCGGCCAGCTCCTCCATGGAGGCGAGGCTCTTCTTGTTTTCCATCTCCGGAAATAGTTTGCGCAAAGCCGAAATTCTCTGTTCTCCTCCATATACCTGCAATGATATATCATTATATTCAAAACTTGCCAAGTGAACAACTATGAACCTATCAACAAAGGGAGTATCAAATTTACAACAGCAATGTGATGGGAAATGTCAGATTTGAGAAGAAAGGAAAAAATAAGAACCTGATGTGAAGCTAGATAGAGGCGGGTATTGTTGTTGAAGCCCAAAGCTGCAAGAAGCAACCCGACTTCTTCCGGAGTTAAAGGGCAACGTCCTTTACCCCGTAACTCCTCATCGGTGAACTGAGAATTCAATACTCTTCCTTGCCAAATCACCTGCCGGTATTTTGCCAGAGCCAACTTTTCAGCTTTACCGCCTCCAAAGTCACAGGCTGAATGAGCAGCCATATCCTGCACAAAGATGGTTGCAAGAGGGGCAACGAACAAATGAAATCAGAAGCATAATAAAGAAGATACCAGTTAAAACTACAAAGAAATAACGTCAAAGAATCATCATCATACTTTATCGAAACGAAGATGTAGCACAGCGAAAGTTTCAGCTCTTGCTTTTGCAATAATATCTACTCTGTCTTTCTGCGGCTGAGTTCCTGAAGTTTTGGAGATGGAAGCAGGGTGTCTAAGTCGATGCACAAGAGCGTCTCCCAGTTCCCAGATACGAGGAACAAACTTTAGTGCCTCAAAATTGACTTTACAGCGTAACCGTTGTATATGTTCGGGCAAATTATCAAATCCCAAACGGTGAGAGAAGGGAGCAACGGCAGCAATCCCATAGCTGCGGCAAAGAATGAAGGGTTCTTACCGGTTAAATTGCCTTGAAAAAAGTATAATGTAGATTTCTCAGCTCCTAAAGAAAACGGAAGCACTTATGATTATAAAGTGATAATTCACACAATTCTCTGCATCAGGCTCCAACTGGGTTCTTACCAATAGTCATATACCCCACCCTTTTTTTCAGATCTTAACAAAGCATGTTTCAGCATCATGCTACATTCCACATTTTCAGATATTTCTTCCGAAAAGATTTCTGAGTTGAGAAGCTACTAACCTCTGAATAACTGGCAACACATTTTCCACATACCACCTCGCTGATGCATGAACAGGAGCAGTCTTAATCCTCGTAGATCGTATACCCGTGGTATAATACTCACGTGTGCTCCAAGCATAGGATGTGGGCAGCTCTCTAGCAATCTGTACCTCGTCTTTAAGGATGCTAATGAAGTGGTCCACATCAAATATATCCGTGAACGAGCTGGAAAAATAAAAGAGAACGGATCAACAACTACCAGGAGGAACTGGCATCTACGTTTCAGAAACAGATATAAACAAATTACCTAGAATCTTGCCAGACAGGATTAACTTCAAAGTGTGGAATCACAAGTGTAACATTCAAAATCTTGGCAACTGCAACCGCGTCACATATCTGCAGGAGCAATGAAATTAATAGGAGAATTCGGGAGCAAGATCACTATCAACTTTTTGAATAAATAGACTAAAGCCAGGTAAAGTCCTGCAGTGTGAATCCTCTATCTAAACTCACCCCCATTCTTTGTTGATTCAATCCACCGTCAAGGAACACCTGAAGAAACCCTTGAGACTTCTCTGAAAGTGCTGTAAAACAATGTCAAGTCCATCAATGAAAAATCGTCACTGTCCAAGGCAATATCTCACTTAGGACACGAGTATATAAACTACGTATAGAGAAAAACGATTTCATTCGAAACTTACAAGACACTGTATAAGATTCAGTACAAGGCTTCCATCCTTGATCGGGCAAAGGAGACCATAACTCAACTTGTTGTCTAATCGGCTGCATATCATTGGAGAAAGAACAAAAATGAGGTAAAAAAATGAACAACATCATGATCATTTTCAGCCATTTTCTCGAAGATTCCGAGGAAACCCACATACGATTTCTCGACTAAGAGCGCCCTCGAGTAGGCGTAGATGTCTTGGCCTCGGAGCATTCCATTCCTGCAAAATGCCACGCATATCCTTCACCTCCAAGATTCAAAATATGAAATCTGAAACCACTACATTTTCCCTAAGACCAAAAGGAATCATCTGGAGTTTATCACTACACCAAAGGGCAATGATTTCTCCCTAAATATACCAACAACAATGGAGATAAAGATGGGCACCAACATATGAACAGATTAAACAGATATATGTATACATACATATATATATATAGAGAGAGAGAGAGACTGACAGAGAAGAGAGAAGGAAACGAGCGACCCAGAGGGCTGAAGAGATTCGGCGAGAGAATCGGGAGAAGAAGCACGAAAACGCCGGCGAGTGCTGTTCTCTGCGGCTGATGGAGATGCTGCGGAAGCTGAAAGTGCTTCATCTGGAGGAGATTCCAACGAGCAGAGAACAGGGTCGAAGGACGAAACGAAGCAGACGACAACCCTTTATTCCAATTTCACTGTTGGAGAATTGAATACTGCGATCGGAAACTTCTCTTTTAGGGCATTCGATGTGAAATCCGATGGAAAAAAAAAACAGCTACCAGATTCGGAGAACACCGATGCTCACATTTGCTTCGGAGAAGCAGGAAACACAAAGATCTCCACAGAGAGAGAGAGAGAGAGAGAGAGAGAGAGAGAGAGATTCTGTTTGCAAGGACAACCGCCGCCGATAATACTAGCCGGCGGAAGAAGCGGGGGGGCATAAGGGCCACCCCCCGCCGATAATACTAGCCGGCGGAAGAAGCGGGCGGACATGGATTATATCGTAATTCTTTTCTTTTTTTCTTTTTTTATCATTTTTATATATGTTTTTTTTGTTTAATTTTTTTTATATATGTTTACATAAAAAATTTAAAATTATTTTGTGGCATTATATATTAATATTACACAAAGGAAAAAAAATATTAACTCAATTCGTTGACTTGTCCAACCTCAGTTAGCAACGATAAATAGAGAGTTAACCAAAGAAAGTGAGATGCAAACTGTAGTCGAGATGATTCACGCTCTCTTTGAATGTAACATTGGCCAAAAAAAAAAAGGTTTGCCTTTATGACACTGTAATGTAGAAATTATTAGGATATATGTGTACATAATATGGTTTTTTTGAAAAAAATAATAAGAATAATTTTAAACTTTTCGACTAACAACTTTATTTTAACTTCTACACAGTCCAATATTAATTTTTTGGAGTTTTTTGGGTTATATGTAATAACCGTCGCACTCCTAATTTAATAAATTATTCATTGACAAAAATATTTGTATTAATTATTTTTATATTTCTAAATATTCATAGTGATATTTTCGTTTTCGATTAAACTATTTTCGATTTAACTTTTTATTTTATAAAAATTACAGTTATTTGATTATTACATAAATTTTGGTTCCACTCAAATTATTTTAAGACGTTCATACAACGTTTTCCATGCATGATGATACATACATATCTATGTGTATATATATAGGTTTTGCAATTTGTGAATATATTCTCTCTAATGATTTTTTTTATTTATTGTAATAAAAAAAAGTTTTGTTATAAACTTGACCTCACATTCAAGGTGTTTGACTCTCCTATAACACTTTTTTCATTTGATCATGCACCAATGAGTTTTTTTAATTAATTAGGCTAATTAAATGGATTAATTGGGACTATATGGGTTTTGTGGGTTGAATCCAATCCAAGTAACTCTTATTATAGGGTTGATTCTGTTGGGGATGGCGGTTGTTGACGACAGCAAAACTCCGGCAATTCGAGCGATTCCAGATAAGTACCTGAAATTAAAAGAATATTTTGTCGAGACCTGTGAAACACAGTTTCCTTAAATTCGATTTCCGTGCCACCTCTAAAGCTTCGAGGCTATTGGAGCACGGTGAACTCCCAGGATACAACGACCGCGTATTTGGAAGAAGCTTTCCAAATACCAAGCGAACTCAGAGAGAGATATGAGCAAATATGTGAATGCTCTTTTTTTTCTCTAGAATGCTTGTTTCCTTTTCTGTGTGTTTTATGAGCTAACCCAAGACCCCTATTTATAGTAGAGGGGAGAATCTCAAAATAAATCAATTTGAATTTCAAAATTCAAATTTGATTTTATCTTGATATTATCTCAATCTTATCTTAATCATATTTGATAGATTTTCTGCGGATTTGAATCCAATTTGAATTTGAATTTGAATTTCAAATTTAAACAAGAATATTCTCTTAATATTCTGTAGATTTAAATTTATACGGATCGGGCTTCTCACGGGCTAGGCCCGTTTTGATTCTATCAAATAAACCCAAATCCAACAATCCCCCACAAGAATCAAAATAGGACCTTGAGTTAGGTGAACCTAAATGCATCTCATGCAACTAATACAAATGATGTGCAATGCAAAATTTGCTCATCGAGAGTTTACTGTATCCGGAAAGGTAGTTTTACCTTTGAACCTTCCGTAGTGAAATACTATCGGATGTACTTGCTAAACAGTGAACGCGATGTCTTGAACTATTCAGCTTTTGTATACACCAAGACAACAGTACTCACGCAGCACCCCCTCTCTCTCTCATTAGTCCATTTGTTGCGCTCATTATGGCCATGGGACAACACCTGGTAGATTTCATCAAATACTCTAGAGAACTAGCCCTTATGTCATTCTCATAGAAGCGGCCCACTTCATACTTGATATAGGAGATTTCTCTTTGAGAGTATCTCAATATACTCCACTCTCGTAGGAGATAAGAGAATCTTTAAGAGTATAAACTCAACCTTCCCAATTTGTATCACTCTTATCATAGGAATGTGAAGAGACATCGGTCTCGAGAGATCCCATCGACCCCCCCACAATTCGGTTGTCCCATTGAACCTAACACTGGTGGTTTGTCCAGATAGGTTGGGTTGCCATCATGGTGGTTTGTCATTCTATGGGCTTTAATCCCATTCCCCTCGATAATATTTCTACCTGATCTCTGTTAAGGCCTTTGGTCAGAGGATCAGCCAAATTATCTTTTGATCTCACAAAATCAATAGATATGACACCATCTGTTAGTAATTTTCTAACAGAGTTATGTCGTCTGCGGATGTGTCGCGACTTTCCCTTATACACATGGCTTTTTGCCCTTCCTATTGCAGACTGACTATCGCAATGTATGCAAATTCCAGACACCGGTTTAGGCCATATAGAAATATTCTCAAGAAAGTTTCGAAGTCACTCAGCTTCTTCACCAGCAAGGTCTAAAGCTATGAATTCTGATTCCATAGTGGATCTTGCAATACACGTTTGCTTAGAGGATTTCCACGAAATAGCACCTCCACCAATAACGAATATATATCCACTTGTGGATTTATTCTCATTCGAATCTGAGATCCAGTTCGCATCAGAATATCCTTCTAATACTGCTGGATATCTTGTATAATGCAGTTCATAATTCTCAGTATACCTTAGATATCTAAGGAGTCTAATTATGGCCTTCCAATGATCACAACTTGGATTGCTCGTATATCTGCTAACCCTATTCACGGTATTAGCAATATCCGGCCTTGTACTATTCATAAGATGCATTAAGCTTCCTATGATTCTGGAATATTCTAATTGTTGAACTCCCTCACCGTGATGTTTTTTCAAATGAAAATTAACATAAATTGGAGTTCTGGCCTCAGAATTTCCATCTTTGTCAAACCTCTCTAAGATTTGTTTTATATAATGACTTTGGGATAACGCATAACCATCTTGTGTCTTGATAATTCTCATACCAAGTATTACATCTGCTATTTCCAAGTCTTTCATGTCAAAGTGATTTGATAATATGGTTTTCGTAGCTTTAATCACCTTATCACCACTACCAGTAATGATCATATCATCTACGTAAAGACAGATAATCACAAATTATGTCTCATTACCTTTGACATATATGCACTTGTCAACCTCGTTGACTCGAAATCCATTTGACAACATTACGCTATCAAACTTCGCATGTCATTGTTTCGGAGCTTGTTTAAGTCCATACAATGATTTCACAAGTTTACACACTTTTCCCTCTTGTTCGTGCACTCTGCACCCTTCAGGTTGAAGCATGTATACTTCTTCTTCCAGTTCACCATTTAGAAATGCAGTCTTTACATCCATCTGATGTAATTCTAGATTATGTAAGGCTGCCAAGGCTATAATAAACCTTATGGATGTTTTCCGAGCGACTGGAGAGTAAACATCGAAGTAATCGACACCCTCAGTTTGCCTATAACCTTTGACTACAAGTCTCGCCTTGTATTTTTCAATAGAACCATCCGGTTTCATCTTTCTTTTGAAGACCCATTTATAACCCAATGGTTTGCACCCTTGTGGAAGATCCACAAGTTTCCAAGTGTGATTTTGTCGAATTGATTCAATCTCACTCTTCACTGCTTCCTTCCAATAAGGAGCTTCACGAGATGACATAGCCTCTTGATATGTCTGTGGTTCTTTATCCAACATAAACGTTAGATAATCAGAACCAAAAGAAGTCGGTTTCTTTGCCCCTTTACTTCTTCTAGGCTCTTCATCTTCTTCCTCTAATTGCTTAGAAGATTCATGAATTCTTTGAGATTCCATACCACTTGGATCTAATTCTATCCAACATAAACGTTAGATAATCAGAACCAAAAGAAGTCGGTTTCTTTGCCCTTTTACTTCTTCTAGGCTCTTCATCTTCTTCCTCTAATTGCTTAGAAGATTCATGAATTCTTTGAGATTCCATACCACTTGGATCTAATTCTATCCGAGTCTTGTAGAGAAATACATCTTCAAAAAATGAAGCGTCTCTTGATTCAACGACTGTATTCGCATGTATTTCAGAATTATCTGATTTATACACCAAGAATCGGTAAGCACTCGAATTGTGTGCATAACCAACAAACACACAATCTATTGTCTTTGGTCCTAACCTAGTTCGTTTAGGAATAGGGATAGGAACCTTAGCCAGACAACCCCATACTCTCAAGTATTTGTAGCTAGGTGATTTGCCTTTCCACAACTCATAGGGTGTTTTGTCGAGCCTTTTGTGGGGCACTCTGTTTAATACAAAATTAGCAGAAATCACTGCTTCCCCCCACAAGTTCTGAGGAGATCCAGAACTTATTAACATAGCATTCATCATCTCTTTCAGCGTTCTATTCTTGCGTTCAGCAATGTCATTCTGTTCTGGCGTATAAGGGGCTGTAGTTTGATGAATGATGCCATGATTTTCGCACAATTGCGCAAAAGGTGATTCATATTCACCTCCTCTATCGCTTCTCAAAGCTTTGATTTTCTTTCCAAGTTGATTTTCAACTTCGTTTTTATAGAGATTAAACATCTCTATTGCCTCATCTTTACTTCTCATTAAGTAGAGATAACAATACCGAGTACAATCATCAATAAAAGTAATGAAGTACCTCTTTCCGCCTCTGGTTTGCACGTATTTCAAATCGCATACATCTGTATGTATCAATTCCAAAGGTTCAGTACTTCGTTCAATATTTTTAAACGAAGACTTAGCAAATTTCGCTTCAATGCAGATTTCACACTTGTGGTCTTTGTCTAATTTAAATTTTGGTAGCAGATTAAAAGACATTAATCTTTGCATAGACTTAAGATTCACATGTCCTAATCTACCATGCCATAATCTTGACTCATTCAAGTAAGCAGAAGAAGTAGAAGCTTTATTAATATCATTTGCGGTTATATTATTT